AAAAAACAAGATTTCGGTCTAAAAATAACATTCAATAAAGAAATTGCAATAAAGTTTCAATACATATAAAACTATAATTAGTGTTCAGATTATATACTAATTGTGTAACAAATCATAAAAAAGTGAATGCATTTGAATGTCAAACACAACTACAGAATATTCCTATCAATAGGTTTTGCAAACGACTCAAGCATTCAGTCATAGACTGCGAGAGAGCCCACACTTAACGCCATCTCCTGTGCTATGAATGAGTGAAATGTGTTTTAAATACAAAAACACGTGAAAAATGTGTTGAAAAATATGTTAAAAACAGTGTTATTTGTGAAGTGATAGTGAAGTGAGGGTTTGTTTTGTGGTTTAAAAACACTTGTTTTGTGACCGAAATCGGTGTCCGCGAAGACAATGCAGGTCTCGGAAGTGAATGACATAAAGATCTATAACTTAAGTCACGGCAAATCAATACCCGAATGGCTTTCCGACCGAAAGAGACGATTATTGCTGAAGAAAGACGTGGATCTGCGGCGACGGATACAACTGATCCAAGACCTGGAGATGCCGGCCGTGAGTCACGGCATACAAGTGTCACGCGATGGCCAATACGTGGTGTCCACCGGTGTCTATAAGCCAAGGGTCCGGTGCTTTGATGTGAACCAATTGGCGATGAAGTTTGAGCGCTGTTTTGACGAAGAAGTGGTCAAATTCCAGATACTGTCCGACGATTACACGAAACTAGTCTTCCTCTTCGTCGACAGATACGTCGAAATTCACTCACAATTTGGCCGATATTTTCGGATAAGGATTCCGCACTTCGGCCGCGATATGGCCTACAATCCCAAGACCTGTGATCTGTATTTTGTCGGCGATTGCGCTCAAGTGTTTCGCCTCAACCTCGAGGTCGGCTCATTCCTGAAGCCCTACGACACCAATAGTATATCGTTCAACACGTGTGCACTCAATCCACACCACAATCTATTCTTCTGCGGTTCGCACGAAGGAATGGTCGAAGCGTTTGATCCGCGCTCTAAATCACGGGTCGCTGTCTTGGATTGCGGTCTGAGTTCAGTAACCGCTGAGACCAGTGTTGACGGCATGCCATCAGTCACTCACATCGCCTTCAGAGACGCCCTCCATATGGCTGTGGGCACCGCCACCGGTCAGGTCCTCCTCTACGACATCAGGGCTTATAAGCCCTACACTGTTAAGGATCACAGGTATGGACTGCCCATCAAAGACATTGAGTTCATCGACGGCGGAGGACTCGACTTAATCGCATCAATGGATTCGAAGATTATTAAGATATGGAAGAGAGACACCGGAGAGCCCTATACCGCCATTCAGGCCGACTCCGACTTTAATGATTTATGTGTTGTTCCCAACACTGGTATGATGTTTGTGGCCAATGAGGCGCCGAAGATATTGTCGTATTATATGCCGAGTTTAGGACCGGCGCCCAAATGGTGTGCATTCCTCGACAGAATTACCGAAGAGTTGGAGGAATCGACTGAAAACACGATATACGATGACTACAAGTTTGTCACACAACGAGAGTTAGAAGAGTTGGGTTTAAATCACTTAATGGGAACTAATCTATTGCGCGCTTATATGCACGGCTTCTTCCTCGATATGCGGCTCTATCATAAGGCGAAGGCCTCTTCGGATCCGTTTGCGTACGAAGAGTACCGCAAGAAGAAGATTAAGGATAAAATAGAGGCCGAAAGAGCTGATCGGGTGGTCGTTAAGAGTTCTTTGCCTAAAGTGAACGCAGATTTGGCTCAAAGACTGGCAGAAGAGTCGGAAAATATGACAAAGAAAGGCTCTAAGAAGTCGAAACCGGATCTACTAAATGACGATCGGTTTAAAGATATTTTCGCGAACCCAGACTTCGAGATCAATGAACAGAGCGATGAATATAGACTTCTTCATCCGGTGGTCAATAAGATATTGAAACCGCAAACAAAGCCTTCAGAAGAATCGAAAGCCAAATATATTACTAATTTTGAAGAGATTATGAGTGACGACGAAAAGGACGACTCATCTAATGATTCCGAATCGGAGGTCGAGTCTGAAAGCGAGAGTTCCGACGATAATCACAATTGGACTCAAGAAGTGAAACAAAATTATCGTCAATTAAGAGAAGAAAATAAACGTAAAGAGAGTGATAGCCGACAGACGAACGCAAAGTTTTACAAATTAAAATCCGATAAAGCATTTGCTAATATTAATGACATGAATAGCCATTCGGAGGGAAACACATCAAAAGCCAGTTTAGAGGAACGGCTCAAGAATTTAGAGGCGAATAATGAATTGACTCGAAGTGGGTCTGGAAGTGGTAGCGGAGGTGTCTATGGGAACCGAGTTATGTCTTATGAACCAAAAACTAATAAGAAGAGCAAAAACAAAGAAGAGCTCCAAAAGCACTTATCAGAGCGCAAACGAGTGGCCCGAACGGCCAAAGGGATCAAATTCACTAAACAAACAAAAATGTTTTGATTTTTATAGGAATTTGTTATTTAATTAAATGTTTAACAATTCTGTTCTGTAATTATATTTTGGCCTAAATTTATATCATATTATAAACGATTGAACCCTTTGTTCTCATTTGAAAACATTTTATAAAAATAATAAAACTTTTAACTCTTACCGTATTATAAATGGTTTAATAATTTATGTTTTTATTTGAAAATAAAATAATATGCGTTTATTTATGACAAATGATATCTTAAGATATCAATTATAAGTGCATTTAATCCGTTGGCTCTTAAAGATTTATTTCATTATAATTTTCCGATTAAATCTCACATTAATTTTGTTGTGGATTTCATTTAATGTTTGGAGGATTTGTTTTACTTCACAGAATATTCCCTTTTTTGTATGCATTTTATTTTTAAGCTATTTTTTGTGGTTTTATTTATGTAATCAATAGTTTTGAAAAGAGTTTATTTTGAGTCCATTATTGTTATTTGATTTTCAATAGAAATACGAAGAAAACCCGATTAATAAAAGTATAAAATCTCATTAAAGTGTTTAAATGTGTTTATAAGTGATTCAATAAATTATACGCTCAGCCAATGGTCTCAATGGATAACTGCATGTATGGTATGTATGGTATTATACATGCAATATGTATGCTCTCATTGCGGTCTATCCAGCAATTTATGGCTTTAAGAAATAAGCAGTTTTAAGATGAGTGTTGGGGAGGACTTACCAAAACTTCTTTGCTTGTAGTGAAAACGGGTCAGTTCTAGTCGTCCACTCTTTTGCATTTCTGTGCCTTTAATATAATATATAATATAATATCAAATATAACACAATTTATTTAATCACAATCTGTTATCTTTACTAATTGTTCACTCGTTTCATTCATTCAAATCATAGCTATATCTGGTTTTATATATTCAGTTCAATAGTATCTCACATAATATTGTTATAAATTATAAATTTTTGTTGTTATTCCTTCAAAAACAACAACAAAAATCATATTTTATAATAAGTAATAAATTATTCTCTATTTATATGCACTTAATATGGAAATCGAGACAAACTATTGAATACTTGAATTTTAATGCCTTTAATGAATCGCCTTTTCAAGTCTCTCAAAGTTTTCAAACAATAGTTTTATAAAAACAATTAATAGAGTATTCATTACATTCTTCGCATGTCTTAGATTTCAATACAAAAGTTTTGATTCATTACACCGTCTTTTCAATGCGTTTTTGTTACCATTAAATCATTTAAATAATTACATGTCATCTAATCTTTCGGTAAATGTTTTCATTAATAAGTCTTTAATGAAATGAAAATATTTTTGAGAAACACTTTTTTGTTTGCTTCGAGAACTTTATATTCATTTCTAGTGAACAAAAATATTGATTGCAATTTGATATACTTTTTATTGCTTTTATATGTGATATCAAATAGTATTTTGCTTTTTAAGTCTGGCAGCGGTTTTCTAAAAAGCGAATAGTTTTTTTGATATATTATTATTGTATCTATTGATGAGGTGTTTGGCAATTGATATTTAAATCAATATTTTGGAAATGTTTTTTCTATTTCATGAATATAAAAACAAGTAAACATTATACTGTATCATATATACAGTTATAGATATTTATATACATAACGGTAATATATTATAAAAATTTCGTTTATAACTACAAATATTAAATATTATAGGGGTTTGAGATATAAATAGAGGAACAGAGGGAGAGAGAGAGAGAGGCATTAGATTGCGTGACCATTAAATTGTTTGTCGACACGGAAGCAAACATTTGTAAACTTCTTCTATAACTAAATAATTAAAAGCTGTTCTCATTAATACCTCAATTAAAATATGCGCCAAAAGGCTATTACGAGCCAAAAAGCGATGGATGAAGGTTTGGATGA